GCCATTCTCCTGCCTCAGCCTCCTGAGTAGCTGGGACTACAGGTGCCCGCCACCACGCCCAGCTAGTTTTTTGTATTTTTTTTTTAGTAGAGACGGGGTTTCACCATGTTAGCCAGGATGGTCTTGATCTCCTGACCTCATGATCTGCCCATCTCGGCCCTTCCCAAAGTGCTGGGATTACAGGCTTGAGCCACTGCGCCCGGCCACATACACAATCTTACTGTACTCTCTGGAGATCAGGAAATATGATGAAAGAGTGTTGAAGACTTACATTTCAAAAGACTAGGCAGTCAAAAGGATATTCTTATTTTAAAAAGGAAAAAGTAACAGCAAAAGACTAGGCAGAATCAGTACAAGGAGTTCTTTGAGGGCGGGGTAGAAGGAATACTCATTTCATATGACTAAAATTAGAGTTTCCTTGAATCTCAACCCTCTTCAGTCTGCCTTCCTTCTAGACTCAAAAAGCTAGGTATTTGCCTTTTGGAATTTGTGGTTTGAAACTTGTAGAGTACTGCTTTCAGCCTTGTCAAAGGCAACAAGTGATTAAGAAAAGCAGTGTACGACCTAGCAGCAGTAGGCAAATGTATGATTAAAGATATGTAACCATAGCAGCTGTTGGCTCAGAGAAAAACTTAGTCATTTCTTATTAGCTCTCATCTCCCTCCCTCCTTACTTTCTGTTCCACTTTCCCTGCTTCTTTATTCTTCCTTCTTCTCCTTGTCCTTCTCTTTCTTCTCCTCCTCCTCCTCCTCCACCTTCTTCCTCTCCTCCTCCTCCTCGTTTTTTTTTTTTTGGTTTATTTTTTGTTGTTTGGGTTTTTTTTTTTTTGACCGCCTTGCTCTATTGCTCAGGCTGGAGTGCAGTAGTGCAATCATAGCTCACTGCAGTCTTGAACTCCCAGGCTCCGGCGACCCTCCAACCTCAGCCTCCTGAGTAGCTGGGACTGCAGGCATGCACCACCACAACCAACTAATATTTTTATTATTTGTAGAGAACAAGGTCTCTCTATGTTGCGTAGGCTGGTCTTGAATTCCTGGGCTCAAGGGATCCTCCCGCCTCAGCCTCCCACAGTGCTGGGATTATAGGCCTGAGCCACCATCCCCAGCTTCATTTCTTTATCTCACTTCCTCTTCTCTGTCTCTCTCTTTCTTTGACTTGGTCTAATTTGTCTTATCCTTTGTAAATTTTTCAAGACTTTTTTTTTTTTTTTTTTTGAGATGGAGTATCACTTGTTGCAGTGGTGCAATCTCGGCTCACTGCAAGCTCTGCCTCCCGGGTTCACGCCATTCTCCTGCCTCAGCCTCCTGAGTAACTGGGACTACAGGCGCCCGCCACCACACCCAGCTAATTTTTTGTATTTTTAATAGAGACGAAGTTTCACCGTGTTAGCCAGGATGGCCTCGATCTCTCCTGACCTTGTGATCCACCTGCCTTGGCCTCCCAAAGTGCTAGGATTACGGGTGTGAGCCTCTGCTCCCGCCTGACTTTTTTTTTTTTTAAGAGACTGGATCTCACTGTTGGCCAAGCTGGTCTCAAACTCCTGGACTCAAGTGATTCTACCCATCAGACTTCCAAGTAGCTGGGACTATAGGTGGGCACCATTGCATCCAGCTCTAATTCTTCAGGTCTTTCTGGTTTTTCTCCACTTCCCTCTCTCTGCAAATGCCATTATTAAATGTAGCCCCCCCAAAAAGGCAAAGAACTAAACAAGATAAAAGCAAAACAGTTTATTCTAGTAACCTATAAACATTACATTTTAAATTATATGAATTGTCTAAGTCTGTAGTTTGTCTTTAACTCTGCCACTATGGTGCTTTACATACTTAGGAACTTTAAAAATCTTTTGAATGATTATTGGGATGAAATACTGGGTTTTAGTGTCTAGAATCCAAAGCAAAGCAGTTATGCAGCTATGGAAGTGATACACTTGTTCACTGATTTCTTGATTACTCAAGATAGAAGGAGTTTGTTATTATATGCAGACTCTCATTTAAATATATAAAACATATATATATATTTTTAAAACATGAGCCTGGCCAACATGGTGAAACCCCATCTCTACTAAAAATACAAAAATTAGCTGGGCATGGTGGCGCACGCCTGTAATCCCAGCTACTCAGGGGGCTGAGACAGGAGAATCACTTGAACCTGGGAGATGGAGGTTACAGTGAGCCAAGATCGCACCACTGCACTCCAGCCTGGGTGACAGAGTGAGACTGCATCTCAAAAATAGAATTAAAAAATAAATAAGAAAGTAACCTTCTGGTGCCTTAGTTCCTACCATGGCTTAGAATGAAAGAGGTTCCTAGGTGAAGGTGAGTTGCTGATGTGGGAAAAAACAGGATTTTTTTACTTTATTTAAAAACAAAACAGTGACAACATATTAGCTAAAGCCCTCATTTAGATTGTTTTAAAATTACAAAATAATACATGGTCATTATAGAAATGAGTGCAAATAATACAGATTCTGGAGGAATCTCTAGGAAGGCTACCTATCAGGTACTATGCTCATGACCTGGGTGATGGGATTATTATTCCTTTGAAGGCTGCCTGTTTGTATCTTTTGCCTGTTTTTTAATTGGGTTATTTGGTTTTTGTTAAATTGTTTAAGTTTACTATAGATTCTGGATATTAGACCTTTATTGAATGCAAGTTTGTGAATATTTTTCTTGCTTTCTGTAGGTTGTCTCAGCCTGTTGCTACTTTTTTTTTTTTTTTTTTTTTTTTTTTTTGCTGTGCAGAAGCTCTTTAGTTTAATTAGGTCCCACTTGTCTCTTTTCTTTATGTTGCAATTGCTTCTGGGGACTTATACATTCTTTGCCAAGTGTATTAGTTTGTTTTCACACTGCTGATAAAGACATACCCGATACTGGGCAAACAAAAGAAAGAGGTTTAATGGACTTAACAGTCCACGTGGCTGAGAAAGCCCCACAGTCATGGCCGAAGGTGAAAGGCATGTCTCACATGGCGACAGACAAGAGAAGACAGCTGTGCAGGGAAACTCCCCTTTTAAAAACCATCAGATCTCATGAGACTTATTCACTATCACAAGAACAGCATGGGAAAGACCTACCCCCATGATTCAACTACCTCCCACCAGGTCCCTCGCAAAACACATGGGAATTAAAGATGAGATTTGGGTGGGGACACAGCCAAACCATATCACCAAGGCTGAACCCAGAATTTCTTAGGTTTTTCTTCTGGGGTTTTTATTGTTTTAGGTATTACATAAGACTTTAATCTATCTTGAGTTAATTTTTGTTTATGGTGAAAGGAAAGGGTCCAATTTCAATCTTCTGCATATGGTCAGCCAGCTATCCTGACACCACTTATTGAATAGGGAGTCCTTTCTCTTTCGTCTGTTATTGCTGACTTTGCCGAAGATCCGGTGGTTGTAGGTGTGTGGCTTTATTTCTGCATTCTCTATGCTGTTCCATTGGTCTATGTGTCTGTTTTTATACCAACATACCAGTACCATGCTGTTTCGGTTACTATAGCCTTGTAGTATAGTTTGAAGTTGGGTGATGTGATACTTCCAGCTTTGCTTTCTTCGCTTAAGATTGCTTTGGTGATTCATGCTCTTTTTCGGTTCTGTATATGAATTTTAGAATAATTTTTCTAATTCTGTCAAAAATGGTTTTGGTAGTTTTATAGGAATAGCATTGAATCTGTGAATTGCTTTGGACAGTACAGCCATTTTAACTATTGATTCCTCCTATCCACGAGGATGGAATGTTTTTCCATTTGTTTATGTCATCTCTGATTTCTTTCAGTAGTGTTTTGTAATTCTCATTGTAGAGATCTTTTACCTCCTTGGTAAGCTGTATTCCTAGGTTTCTGTGTGTGTTGTTGTGTGGCTATTATAAATGAGATTGTGTTCTTGATTTGGCTCTCAGCTTGGATGTTATTGGTGTATAGAAATGTTACTGAGCGGGCCAGGCGCAGTGGCTCAAGCCTGTAATCCCAGCACTTTGGGAGGCTGAGATGGGCAGATCACGAGGTAAGGAGATCCTGGCTAACATGGTGAAACCCTGTCTCTACTAAAAAAATACAAAAAAAAACTAGCCAGGCGAGGTGGCAGGCACCTGTAGTCCCAGCTACTTGGGAGACTGAGGCAGGGGAATGGTGTGAACCCGGGAGGCGCAGCTTGCAGTGAGCTGAGATCCGGCCACTGCACTCCAGCCTGGGCAACAGAGCGAGACTCTGTCTCAAAAAAAAAAAAAAAAAGAAAAGAAAAAAGAAATGTTACTGAGCTTTATACATTAATCTTCTATCTCTATCTTGAAACTTTACTGAAGTTATTTATTAGTTCTGAGAGCCTTCTAGCAGAGTCTATGGGGTTTTTGAGATATAACATTATATTGACTGCAAAGAGAGATAATTGACTTCCTCTGTTTCTATTTGGATGCCTTTTATTTTTTTCTGTTGCCTGATTGTTCTGGTTAGGATTTCCAATACTGTGTTGAATAGTGGTAGTGAGAATGGGAATCCTTGTTTTGTTTCAGTTCTCAAGGGGAATGCTTCTAGCTTTTGCCTATTCAGTATGGTGTTGGCTGTGGGTTTGTCATAGATGGCTCTTATTTTGAGGTATCTTCCTTTGATCCCTAATTTATTAAAAGTTTTTAACATGAAGTGATGTTGAATTTTGTCAAAAGCCTTTTCTGTATCTATTGAGATGATCATGTGGTTTTTTTAAGTCTGTTTATGTGGTGAATAACCTTTATTAATATGCATATATTGAACCAATCTTGCACCCCAGGAATAAAAGCCCACTTGATTGTAGTGGATAACTTTTTGATGTGCTAGTGTTGTCCTTATAGCTTCTGATACTTTTTTCCTTGAGGTTCTGTAGATAGTAAATTTCTAAGTTATTCATATGTAAAAATGACTTTATTATCCCTCATACTTAGTTAACCCCTTGCCTACTCATGTAATTCTTGGTTCAGAATAACTTCCTTCAGAATTTAGAAGGCTTTGGTGTGTTTTTTTCTGTCTTCCAGCATTATTGATGAAATACTTGATACCAACTTGATTCTTCTACTTTTGTAGGTAACCAGTTGTTTCTCTCTAGAAACTTTTGTGGTCTTTTCTGTATCCTTAGTGGTTAGATGTTGTTGTTGTTTTGTTTTTTTTTGTTTTTTTTTTTAATTCTTTGTGCCTGCCACTCAGAAGACCCTTTCAGTTTGGAAAAAAACAGATAAATTTTCATCTATTATTTTTGCCACTTTTTTTTCTCCTGTTTTGTCTCCATTCTTTTCTGAGATTCCTGTTAGAAACATGCTGGAGCCAGGCATGGTGGCTCACGCCTGTAATCCTGGCACTTCGGGAGACCTATGCAGGTGGATCACCTGAGGTCAGGAGTTCGAGACCAGCCTGGCCAACATGTCGAAACCTCATTTCTACTAAAAATGCAAAAATTAGCTGGGCATGGTGGTGAGCACCTGTAATCTCAGCTACTCTGCAGGCTGAGGCAGGAGAATCACTTGAACCCGGAGACGGAGGTTGTGGTGAGCTAAGATTGTGATACTGCACTCCAGCCTAGGTGACAGAGCAAGGTTCCATCTCTCTTTTTTTTTTTTTTCCTTTGAGATGGAGTCTTGCTCTGTCACCCAGGTTGGAGTGGAGTGGCCCTGCAATCTTGGCTGACTGCAACGTCGGCCTCCCAGAGTCAAGTGATTCTCCTGCCTCAGTCTCCCAAGTAGCTGGGATTACAGGCACTTGCCACCATGTCTAGCTAATTTTGTGTTTTTAATAGAGACGGGGTTGTGCCATATCCAAAAGCTTTCATATCCAAAAGCTCAACAGAATCTAACTATAGTCTGTCCCAATTCCATATTACCAAAAGAGCAAATCTCATTGCCCTAACTTGGCTTATGCTTGGCCCAGTCAGCTGTGGCAGAGGAGTCACATGGTCTATACCCATTCATCATGGGACACTGGGGAAGACTTTAAAAAATAGTCAAATTTGAGCACTGATTACTGAAATTAATTAGGTGGGTAGCTAGTTAATTCTACAATAAAAAATTCCTATTAAAGCTATTATCCAATAATGAAGTCACTACATGCATTGCTATGGAACAAAAGAAAAGTACAAATAATAGCAGAGATGTCCAGCTTTCTACTGAAAAAATTCGTAAATGTTTTCATTTCCCCAAAATCTTTAAAATATCAGGAAACAGGACAATGCTCGGAATGCAAAATGAAGCAAAGCTGTTAGTTAACAGTGGCAATTCTCATTATGGAACTGAAAATTAAGAGTTCCCATGAGCACAAAACATAAATAATTCTTAAATCATCCTAACTTTATTTGTCTTTGTTCTATTCTGCAATTTATTGACAGTGGATAAGTGGTGATATTACCCATTCTGTCCAAGCAAAGTTTTCAGCTCAGAATTGAGGTTTTATGTTGCTTGAGAATCTAATCACCTCAGGTCAAACCTTCAGGTGACAGTACAGTCTTTTCCTATGATAGTAATTCTAAAATATAAACTGCTAAGAAAATTAAAATGAGAAATGAGTTTGGGAAGATGAAAATGTTTTGAAGATAGATGGTAGTGATGGTTGCACAACGTTACTGTACTTAATGCCACTGAATCATACACTTAAAAATGGTTAAAACGGACAAGTGTGGGGACTCATGTCCGTAATCACAGTTATTCGGGAGGCCATGGCAGGAGGATCACTTCAACCCAGGAGTTTAAGATCATCTGGGGCAACATAAGAAGACTCTGTCTCTTCAAAAAATAAAAGAAATTAGCCATTCAAGACCAACCTGACTAACACGGAGAAGCTGCATCTCTACTTAAAATACAAAATTAGCTGGGTGTGGTGGTGCATGCCTGTAATCCCAGCTACTCGGGAGGCTGAGGCAGGAGAATCGCCTGAACCTGGGAGGCGGAAGTTGCAGTGAGCCGAGATCACGCCATTGCACTCCAGCCTGGGCAACAAGAGCAAAACTCCGTCTCTCAAAAAAAAAGAAAGAAAGAAAAAGAA